AGCCCGATGCGGGGCTCGATCCCAGGACCCTGGGATCACGACCCGAGCCGAAGGCAGACGCTTAACGACTGAGCCACCCAGGCGCCCCTCTCCTCTATTTCTATATGGGAACTTGGATTACTAGAGAGAAGTTTTCCCTACATATTCATTAAGTCAGTCAGTCAACAAACATGGGTTGAGCCTACTATATGCACGCTTTTACAATTACAAAGATGATGATGATAGTCCTCACAAAAATTTATACATGAATGTTAATAGCATAATTTATATAGTAAAAAAATTAGAAACAATTCACATGTTCCTCAACTGGTTAATATTTAAACAAAATGTGGTATATCCACCCAACAAAGTATAAATCAGCAATAAAAGGAACAAACTACTGATACAAAATGGATGAACCTCAGAATCATGCTAAGAAGCCAGACAGATGCAAAAGACAACATATTGTATGATTCCTTTATAAAAGTGTCCAGAAAAGGCAAATGTATAGAAAGAGAAAGCAGATCAATGGTTACCTGGGGCTGGGGGGTGGGAGTGAGCTTTGATAGCCAATGGCCCTGACAGAAATGTATGGGATGTTGGAAATGTTCTAAAATTGGATGGTGCTGATAATTGCACAAGTCTACAAATTTACTAAAAATCAGCAAAATATGCTTACCATGGGTGAATGCTATGCTATGTAAAGTATACCTGAAAAAGCTATTTAAAAATTGCTCACCATTAAAAAAATGAAGATTTTTTTTTTCCCTCAGAAAATCATTGGCTTAGAGAGCTCACAGTTAATCAATGAAACAAACATATAAACAAAGAATTATGTTCAGTGTGCTTTGTGTGCGTGTTTGTGACCTCATGAGAGTCCTATAGGTGGAGTTTCAAGTTGTGGTTGAGAGTTTTTAGGCAAGAAACACTTTACATAGAAAATGATATTTGAGATTAGCCTTGTAAAATGAGTAAGGAGTTTGCCAGATGGGGAGGTATTTGTTTCTTGACTTATTGGTGGCACGCATGAAGTAATGGTTCTTCTTTCTTTCCATTTCTGGGACTTCTTTCACTTTTAATATTGTTGTAAATAATTACAAAATATATGTATTGACAACTGGCTAAGGAAGGTAAACAAATAGCAAATTCATATTAGTCTCTTAACAATAAAAGTTGATCATTGATATTACGATTTTCTAGCTTTTGGGTCTTACTAATTACTTAAGGTTTTTAATCAGCAAAGTAATTTATAGCTGACCTTGGATAAATTATCACATTCTTTCATTAAATATGTGTTTGTATTTGTGTATACTATTTTTTCAAATGGCTTTTAAGTGGTTAGGACATAAATACTTAAGTTGTTAATAAAACAGAAGTGTTAAATATATCTTTTGGTCTAGGAGCATCATGAAAAAATTACAAAATCACTAAATACACCATGAACTAAGAAAGAACCAAAAAGTTCTATATTGTTTTTGATCAGAAGGATAATAAGATGAACAATTTTGTAATAGAAATGCTTGACTTCTATAAAAAGAACCTTGAAATTCATTTTGCCTTTTCAGTGTGAGATTTGAAAATAGATGAATTGTTCTTTCTAATAATATGGAAGACTAGGAAGAAATTCTGAATACCTCTCACTACAAAACAGTAAAATGCTACATAAAATATGCAAAATTATTAGATACAAAATAAAATACATGCTTAATATGGGGAAAGACCTAAAAGAGAGTATCAAAACCATGCACAAAAAAGAAACTATCAAAATTGACTTTTTGAAATTACCAATTACATGGGTGCCTGGGTGGCTTAGTGGGTTAAGTATCTGCTCATGTCATGGTCTCAGGGTCCTGGTATCAGCTGGCTCCATGCTCCCTACTCAGCAGAGGGAGTCTGCTCTCCCTCTGCCCCTCCTCCCGCTTGTGCTCGCTCTCTCTCAAATAAATATATAAAATCTTAAAAATAAAATAACCAATAAATGAACTTTTAAAATGAAAATATAATCACTGAAATTAATATCTTAACTAGTTAAACCTGCGAATTAGGTAGAGATTAAGAGAAAGTTTATACACTTGAACATAGAGCTGAAGTAGTTACCCAGAATGCAACAAAAAGAGATAGAGAGGAAAATATAAGCTATGTAAAAGAGCAACAAGGTTAAGAGGCCATAGCTGATATCTGTGATTTGGTTTTTCCACTACCCATTCTATATTTCCTTTGCCCTCAGCCAGAAGCCCAACTGGCTGGGGTTCTTTACTGGATGGGATAGCCCAAACTTTAATTCCTGAAGGGTTTGAATCCTCAATAATTCTTTTCTTTGATTTCTGTAGTTTTGCATTAACTTTTATTACTTGTCATGGAAAAAACAGGATGTGTTCCAGAGAGTCCCCTGGGTTGTGGACACAATCCTCCTTGCTCCTATTATGCATTAACGACTCACTCACCCCTTGGTAATCAAGATCAATCACTAACCAGTAAACAACTTCTTTGCCTACTAATTCCGTGGTATGTTGAGTGCAAAATGGCCAGGTGGCAGTCTCGTCTTCCAACTCAGTAAAACCATTGTTGTATTCCTCTGAAAGAAGCATTTTCCTTTGAAAACTAACCAATAGGCAGAGTTCAAATTGCAGATTGGAAAGCAAAAATTAAGTGAGTGTTCTTTGGTATAGTAGTGAGAGGAGCCACTCCCATTTTGATCCCTTGATTCCTAGACTCTGTATTTTGGCTGTGTTTGTGAAAGCACCAATAAATATAATGGCCTTAATACTGCATCCTGTAAGACTGAACCCAATTCTTACAGAGTTTTGTCTCCCAGCTCACTTTGTTAAGTCTCTCTTCAGGCCAGCAATTTCTGGGTATGTGGTAAGACCATTTTATTCCATGGAGCTTATTGCTTTACAACCTTTGCTATGAAATGAGTTTCCTAATCAGAAACAAAGCTATATAGAATACCATGAAAATGGATGAGGCGTTCCAGTTGATAGTGGTGCTAGCCAGGAGCATTATGAGCAGGGAATGTACAACCATATCAAGAATACATTTATTCCAGGGAGGACAGATCTCTGCCCCCCTGCGTGATAGAAGGCATCCAATGCATTTTTTTTTTAATATTTTATTTTTATTTATTTGAGAGAGACAGAACGAGAGACAGAGAGCATGAGAAGGAGGAAGGTCAGAGGGAGAAGCAGACTCCTTGCCGAGCAGGGAGCCCGATGCGGGACTCGATCCCGGGACTCCAGGATCATGACCTGAGCCGAAGGCAGTCGCTTAACCAACTGAGCCACCCAGGCGCCCGGCATCCAATGCATTTAACCTGCCACTAGGTGGCTGACCGGTATTGATGGGGAATGGTGCCATTTCTGGGGCTCAGAGACCATGCAGGTGTTTGTTGCCATATGAGAAGCTGCATTATTAGTTGTATAGCTGCATACCAGGTGCTATAGGCTCTGTTGATTTCCTCCAGTGATGATACCACCACATCTAGTATAATAGCTGCCATCAGAGTGACCACTTGATTAAATTTACTGTAATCCATAGGCATTTTTCAAGATCCATCCAACTTCTGCACAGACTAAACAGATGAGATGTGATAGATATCAATATCCCTGCATCTTTCACTTCTCTGGTGGTGGCACTAACCTCTGGAGTTCCCCTAGGGTTGTGCTTTTGCTTCTTGATTATTGATAGGAAGAAGTTCTCAAAACTTCCATTAATCGTTCCTACAATAATGGCTCTTATCCCTGGGTCACAGTCAATGTGGAGATTTCTACAAATGGCCTGGTGTTTCTACTCCAATTATACATTCTGGAACAGAGAAAGCAATCATAATGTGTCTTTGGACCAACTGGGTCCACTGTGAATTAAACCTGGGTTAATATTTCATCTGTCAGCTGAACACTATAGATCTCCATTTGCTGGACCAAGTGGCATTTGGAGTCTCCAGAAATTTGCATCAGTTCAGAAATACACGGTAGGCATAATTCTAAGGTGGACGCTAACATCCCTTTCTCCATAGTGTATGCTCTACCTTCTTCCAGTTATTCAGTCAAACATCTACCTAGGTGTTGCTATGAAGGGATTTTGCAGCTGTAATTAAGGTCCCAAATCAGTTGACTTTAAGAATGGGAGATTATCCCAGGTGAGCCTGACCTACTCACATGAGCCCTTAAAAGAGACTGAGCTATTCCTGAGGAGAGAAATTCAAATCATGAATATTCACAAGGTTGTACAACCATCACCATTATATAATTCCAGAACATTTTCATCACCCCCAAAAGACCGCATACCCATTAGCAGTCACTCCCTGTTCTTCCTGCTCCCTAGACCCTGGCAACCATAATCTTTCTGTCTCTGGATTTGCCTGTTCTGGACATTGCATATAACTTGAATAATAATAAAACAATATGTGGCATTATCTTCTTTCACTTATCATGATTTCTTTAAGATTCATTCATGTTATAGTATGCATCAGTACTTCATTCTTTTTTATGACTGAATAATATTCCATTATATATATATGTAATATACATGCCATATTTTGCTTATCCTTTCATCAGTTAATGGACATTTAGGTTGTATTCCACTATTGTGAATACAAATTCATGTATATGTACAAGTTTTTGTGTGAACATATATACCTAGGAGTGAAATTGATGGATCTTAATGTAGCTAACTCTATGTTTAACTTTTTGAGAATTGACAAACTGTTTTCCAAATTATAATGTGGCTGTACCATTTTGCTTTCTCACTTTTAGTGGCTTTTTAGATTCTATATCTTCATCTGTAAAAACAAAGGGTACACTTGAGGTTTTGCAGGGAGGGAAATGTGGGATAGAAAGATAGAATGAAATGTTATACCAAAACATTTTTTTTCCTATCCAGTTCTAAATATTACATGTAACATTTTTTTCCTAGAAATTTTAGGGAAACAGACCAGAATAAAGTAAGAAATCAAAAGTCAGTGAGAACTTTACCAGCTTTTTTATCTTGATGATTTGAAATTCTGTTTTTTGTTTTTATAGAAAAGCTTGCAGAGGCTCAGCGCAGGTTTGCTACACTTCAGAATGAGCTTCAGTCATCACTGGATGCACAGAAAGAGAGCATTGGCGTTACTACACTGCGACAGCGCAGGAAGCCAGTCTTCCACTTATCCCATGAGGAACGTGTCCAACATAGGAATATTAAAGACCTTAAACTGGCCTTCAGTGAGTTCTACCTCAGTCTAATCCTGCTGCAGAACTATCAGGTACTTAGAGTCTTATCCTGGAGAATGGAACCTTCAAATAATTGAGGAGTTTGGAATTAACCTTGAACTATACTAATGGGCCAATCCAAAAAGGGAAATCTTTAGCATGTCATTATTTTTTAGGTTCTTAATGTGATTTCAGATATTCTTATTGGCTAAAAACCATGTATCAAAGGTGGCAAAATAGTGTTAATAAGACTTCTATTTTTGAAGATCAGTTTTCTAAAACCTTTTCTACAGTGTGCACAAGTAACCCTTGATTCATGGTTTACTTCCCATTTTTAGAGGCATCTCTGGTAGTAGTAAGTAGAAATAAGAAATTATATATGTTTCTCCAGCCACTGCTGGCTATGTAAGAGCTTTACATTCCTCCAAGCCTATAACAAAATTTCCACAAAGGCAATTAGACAGTTAACTTTTCTGAAACTAACACTAGTAATATAAAAGATACTAACTCTACAACTTCCCACTGAGAATCCTTCTAATTGTATTATCCACAGATTGTAATATAACTCTATTAAAAAAAATCTTTATGGAATTACTGGATCACTCTGTTGTATACCTGAGACTAATATAACACTGTATGTTAACTACATTAGAATGAAAATAAAATTTTTTAAAAAGTGGAAAAATATCTTGTGAAAGAAATTATGTCACAGCAAACACGTATAGAGACTGGATGAATAAGCTATTGTGATATATCACTCAGCATTTTTAAAACCCAATCTGAAAAGCTGAATTACCATGTACACTGAATTATGGAAATAGAAGGCATTTATTAATTTCTCATTCTTTACAGATTAGTTTACATATTTAAATCTATAATGAATTTATTGAAAAATAGATTTGTTCAGTAATAAACATTTAAATAGGCAAAAGCATCGAATCTTTAAAGAGACCTTACATACTGTTCTTTTTCCATTTTATTATTGTGATTAGTACTTCTATTCAGTGGTTATATAAAACATTATATAAAAACTAAAGGTTATATAACAAAAGTATTCTAGGGGTAAATATTGGGTTTTAAAATAAAAAGTCGGGGCGCCTGGGTAGTGGCTCAGTCCTTAAGCAACTGCCTTCGGCTCAGGTCATGATCCCAGAGTTGGGGGATCAAGCCCCGTGTCAGGCTCCCTGCTCAGTGGGAAGCCTGCTTCTCCCTCTCCCACTGCCCCTGCTTGTATTCCCTCTCTTGCTGTGTCGCTCTCTGTCAAATAAATAAAATCTTAAAAAAATAAAATAAAAACAAGTCATTATAGTCTCATATCTCTAGTAATCTAAGTTGTTAATGCATGTACTTATTTCCCTTTCTTTCCCTTTTATAATTCTACCTTCTTTGGTAATTTAGTATTTTATCATTCAAAGAAGAAACCAGTTGGAAAATAATTTTAGAAGAATAGTGAAGTATATGATGGGAAATTCCTTTCCTTTGAAATTTATTTGTAGCTTTATAATTTATATTTAAAAAGAAACAAAAATGTAATTCTTCTTATAATGCTATAAAATATTAACATTTCATATTTCATTGATTATGCTTGTGTGTTGCAGAGAAACACCCGTGTTAAATTTTATTTTATTAGCTTTCCCAGAAGCTTTTGTTTGGCGCCATTATAAAAAGCTCCTTGGGAAAACAAAAATAATTGTTAATTATAAAAGTTCTGTTCTGTTCTCTATTCTTTAAGGCTGGCTCTTCTGTAAGAATATATATTGAGAGTGAGGAGAAAGGAAAATTAATTGAAAGCAGTATCTAAATCACGGTGTATGCACCCCTAGGAGAGTTTAAGATGATTTGCTAAGGTATGAGACAAAAATTATAAACAAACTAGCAAGGAAGCAAAGTGCAATTTGGAGTAAGTGCTCAATTTTTTTACTGATAGGGATATGTGCTCAGCAAATTTGGAAGATCTCTGGTTTAAAGAACCATGCAAATCTACAGTTTCCTGCTTTTTTGCATATACTGAAAAACAACAATTGGAGAATGTAGAAAAGTGGAGTATTTTGATATTGTAGAAATGGAGGAGGAGTGCAAGCTCCTATCCATTATCAGCAAAACCCTGTATGTATGATCAGTGTTACTCTTTTTGCACTCCCATCCCCAAACTGAGAATGGATGGAAGCAAAATGAAGTTAAAAGAAATAAACGATCTTCCATTTTTATACATGCTTGCGTAGTAGGGGGAAAATACATAGCAATACCAGTCCTTTAAAAAACAAAAAAGTAATAAATGTATTCAGTGTATTATAAATCCAAAATATTTTCTGATAGTATTCTTTTGATCATGAAGCAAAATAATACAAATTAGTCTTTTTGAGAATAATTGTACATAAGAAAATGGAAATAAAAATGTTTTGAGTCTAAGACTTCCATTAATTTACTTGAAATAGAAATCATAGGGTTCATAGTTTAGGGTTTCTTTTATTATTGATGGCATACTACCTTGAAATAAATAGATGGAATAAGAAGAAAGAGTCTTTTTTTTTTTTTAAGATTTATTTATGAGAGAGAGAGTAAGCATGTGGTGGGGAAGAACAAAAGGAGAGGGAGAGAGAGTCTCAAGCAGACACCTCACTGAGCACGGAGCCTGATGGTGGGGCTCACTCTCACTACCCTGAGATCACAACCTGAGCTGAAACTGAGAGTCAGTTGCTTAACCAACTGTATCACCCAGGCACCCCAAGAAAGAAGAGTCTTATCCTTTTAGAAGTAAATGCTTATATGAAAGCATTGCCATTTCCCTCAGTACTCAGTCATCAGTCAGCTCATCAATACATAGTGCTTATTATTTTTCTTCTTTTATGGTGGTGGAAATTATAGTAGTTTTTCTTATTTCTTTCTGTAGAATCTGAATTTTACAGGGTTTCGAAAAATCCTCAAAAAGCATGACAAAATCCTGGAAACTTCTCGTGGAGCAGATTGGCGCGTGGCTCATGTTGAAGTGGCCCCATTTTATACGTGCAAGAAAATCAACCAGCTCATCTCTGAAACTGAGGTATAGTAATCTCACTTACGTACCACATATTTTCAATTGCATTAATGTCTTATTTTTAATGAAATAATTCTTCATCTCTATTCTCTTTTTGTAATTAGTTGCTATCTTTGAATACAATATTCTTTACTCATGATTTTTGTCTTTTGCTTTGTCAGTGTACATTCACCAAGAGGTTATCAGAGTACCATGTATATAAATGGTTCAGAATTATTTATGTATTATGCAAGATTAGTATAACCTATGTCAAAATTTAATGTGTCTTTCTAGGCTGTAGTGACTAATGAACTTGAAGATGGTGACCGACAAAAAGCTATGAAGCGTTTACGTGTCCCCCCTTTGGGAGCTGCTCAGGTTAGTATTTGCTTCCAGTTTTTTGGTTGGTTGGTTTTGTCGATTTAATAATCAACACAATCTGTTTAGTTGATAAGACATACTAGTTTCATTACTTTAAAAAATATGTCAGGGGCACCTGGGTGGTTTAGTTAAGCATGCAGCTCATGATTTCGGCTTAGGTCCTAATCTCAGGGTCATGAGATTGAGCCCTGTATCAGGCTCTGCAGTGGGTGTGGAGCCTGCTTAAGATTCTCTCTCTCCCTCTCCCTCTGCCCTCCAACCCTGCTCTCTCTCCTTAAAAAAAAAAAAAAGCCAAATTTTAAAAGTAGTTATTACCACTGTTATTTTGTTTTTAAAAAATCCAGCGCCTCAAGGCACCTGGGTGGCTCAGTCGTTAAGCGTCTGCCTTCAGCTCAGGTCATGATCCCAGGGTCCTGGGATCGATACCTGCATTGGGCTTCCTGCTGAGCGGGAAGCCTGCTTCTCCCTCTCCCACTCCTCCTGCTTCTGTTCCCTCCCTCGCTGTCTCTCTCTCTGTCAAATAAATAAATAAAATCTAAAAAAATTAAAAATCCAGCACCAGATCTCACTTCATGATGAATTGTAATGTCTTCCCACCTTTCTCTTCTTATGCTGTATTCCTTCCATTGTTTATTCTTAACGACATTCTAACTTCTTGGTCTCCCCAAATTATTATTATTTTTATTTTTATTTTTTTTAAAGATTTTATTTATTTATTTGTGAGAAAGAGAGAGAGA